GGCATTATTGGATGCATTCCCCAAAAGCGTGTCAATGCAACGGGAGAGACCGTTTGAAAGGGAACGCTCCGATTACTAATGTAACCTCGGTTCCCCGAGATAAGGGAACGAGCGTTGCATAGGCTGCCGTGCTATAAGGCTGTACATGAATCAATTAATGTTGTTTCAGTCAAAAGATTCTGACAAAATCAGAGCCAAATTATTTAGAGGTCGGGTCCACCCCTTTTGGCAGGTTGAAGCACCATTGGTTCATTCAGCTACACGAATGTGAACAAATCAGGCTTCAGTATCAGAGTTAACAGTTTCCCCATAAGCGTGTCTACGCAACGCTCATTCCCTTATCTCAGGGAACCGAGGTTACGTTAGTAACTGGAGTGTTAATTGAGTGCAACAAGATCATATGCATCAAAAGATAATGCATCTTGAGTAGAAATATCATCTGTCAAAGATACTGTACATTTAAATTAATCTATTAATTTAGATCTAAAGTCTATTTATTTGATGCTATGTGCATTCTGTGGTCATAAATTCAGCCCCAATTGTCTAATAAACCGATAAAATATACATTACCATTCAAAAGTTTGGGTTTAGTAAGTTTTTTTTAAAGATTTCCTAAAGAAGTCTCTTATGCTCATCAAGAACACAACAAAAACAGTAATATTGTTAAATATTATTAGAATTTAAAATAACTGTTCTATTTGAATATACTGAAAATTTCATTTATTTCTGTAATAGCAAAGCTGAATTTTTAGCTGGCATTATTGCAGTCTTCAGTGTTATATGATCCTCAAAGTACCATGACGCATACGTGTGATACTGCTGACGCAGGAGCCAGTGTTCTGACGTACCGAAACCATACTGAACGTGACGTCAAAAACGGGGTACGTACCGAACCGTCATGTTTGTGTACTGTTACACTCCTACATATACAGTGGGTACGGAAAGTATTCAGACCCCCTTAAATTTTTCACTCTTTGTAATATTGCAGCCATTTGCTAAAATCATTTAAGTTAATTTTTTTTCCTCATTAATGTACATACATCACCCCATATTGACAGAAAAACACAGAATTGTTGACATTTTTGCAGATTTATTAAAAAAGAAAAACTGAAATATCACATGGTCCTAAGTATTCAGACCCTTTGCTGTGACACTCATATATTTAACTCAGGTGCTGTCCATTTCTTCTGATCATCCTTGAAATGGTTCTACACCTTCATTTGAGTCCAGCTGTGTGTGATTATACTGATTGGACTTGATTAGCAAAGCCACACACCTGTCTATATAAGACATTACCGCTCACAGTGCATCCATGCTTACAGGAGCACCCTCAGTACGAGTGCTCCAGGGCTGGGCTCGCAGAGCAGCTTCGTTCTGCACTTGCTTATAGCACGGCATTATTGGATGCATTCCCCAAAAGCGTGTCAATGCAACGGGAGAGACCGTTTGAAAGGGAACGCTCCGATTACTAATGTAACCTCGGTTCCCCGAGATAAGGGAACGAGCGTTGCATAGGCTGCCGTGCTATAAGGCTGTACATGAATCGATTAATGTTGTTTCAGTCAAAAGATTCTGACAAAATCAGAGCCAAATTATTTAGAGGTCGGGTCCACCCCTTTTGGCAGGTTGAAGCACCATTGGTTCATGCAGCTATACGAACGTGAACAAATCAGTCTTCAGTATCAGAGTTAACAGTTTCCCCATAAGCGTGTCTACGCAACGCTCATTCCCTTATTTCAGGGAACCGAGGTTACGTTAGTAACTGGAGTGTTAATTGAGTGCAACAAGATCATATGCATCAAAAGATAATGCATCTTGAGTAGAAATATCATCTGTCAAAGATACTGTACATTTAAATTAATCTATTAATTTAGATCTAAAGTCTATTTATTTGATGCTATGTGCATTCTGTGGTCATAAATTCAGCCCCAATTGTCTAATAAACCGATAAAATATACATTACCATTCAAAAGTTTGGGTTTAGTAAGTTTTTTTTAAAGATTTCCTAAAGAAGTCTCTTATGCTCATCAAGGCTGCATTTATTTGATCAAAAACACAACAAAAACAGTAATATTGTTAAATATTATTAGAATTTAAAATAACTGTGTTCTATTTGAATATACTGAAAATTTCATTTATTTCTGTGATAGCAAAGCTGAATTTGTAGCTGGCATTATTGCAGTCTTCAGTGTTATATGATCCTCAAAGTACCATGACGCATACGTGTGATACTGCTGACGCAAGAGCCAGTGTTCTGACGTACCGAAACCATACTGAACGTGACGTCAAAAACGGGGTACGTACCGAACCGTCATGTTTGTGTACCGTTACACTCCTACATATACTGTATATATATATATATATGAATATATATATATATATATATATATATAAATATATATATATATATATATATTCACATACACATTCACATACATACACACTATTGTTTATTCATGTTTGTTTATAGTATATGTGAAATTTATACACCTAAATTTATTAGCATATGGTATGTAGACATTAACTTACACAAAATCATTTTCATTATAATTAATGTCAAAAAAAATTAAAGCTTACTGTAATGTAAGGTTCTAAAAATGGAAACAACTATTATCCATAATCATATGATATATAAAATACTCAAATTGCTATTTTAATCTTGACATTATGATCACTACTTATCTGAATGGTAAAATAACGTGACATACTGTTTCATGAGAGCTGGACTTGAATGACACATGATAGGGAAGGGGAGTGACTGTATAATGAACTCATCAGTCAAAGGCATGGACAGAGATGAAGTGCTGTGCTCTCTCATTACCCTGTCATTGAATTCGTTGAGTTGGCCCATTGATCCATAAACTGTCTCGGCACTGCGTAGGCCATTGATACGACGCAATGACTCGGTAAGCTCCTCATCAAATGTTTGATCGAAAGTCTTTCAGCACAGCAGGGGGATCGAAGAGAGAAGGAAACACAAAGCATGCAAACTAATAAAATATAAAGGCTCTCCACATGCACGATATCATGCAACGTAAAAAAAAAATAAAAAATTAAACAATAAGTGGCATTCATAAATAATAGTACAGGCATGTAAAAGAAATGAAATTGCATAAAAACAAATGTGTATTATTCTGAAATCAAGTGTTTTCATCTTTGCAGCAACTAATATTGTGGCTGTGACTGAACTGCTTGCCCATGCATTTTACAATGTCCTTTGAACATAATGCACTTTGCATCTTTTTTTTCTCTGAAAATTGTCAGAATATTCAACTGGCTAAGCTTCATATCATGATGCCAATAATATTCCAGCTCCATAGTGCGAGGGGAAATAACATCTCTGGTGACATGCAATATTAAGTATATAAACAGACCTAAATAGCAGTCTGGCCTTTGTACTGGTTATCAGGCTTCTGCCTTGAAATAGTGTTTGAAATATGTTTGGTTAGTTGCTGGGTATGCCATAAGGACGCACTGACTACTTTTGTCCTCTAGGAGGCAGTGTTGTATAACTGTAGGACTAACAATGTGGTGGTTTGTGTGATTCCAGTGTAAACAAATGTGACTCTAATTGATAGATGTAAATGACTACATTTTTATTGTTTATTGTACAAGGGTGTTAATTTTCTAACCTTATGTGGTTTTCAAACTTAACATCATAGCTCCTTGCATCACGTCAACTCAAAAATGCCTGCCATAACATGCACATTCAATCTGTTAAACAGTGTTTGGCTGTGTGTTTAGATTTTATCTGAGCAGAGTCGAAAAGGTGCAGAAACTCTGTCAGTCTCCCAATCATCTGCTTCACTTACTGTCAACTCCAATTGCAGTGACAGTTTCCCCTCATTCAGGGTAAACTTCTTCACTTAGGATTTTCAAATTCACTTTTTGTTTTAGTGCTGTGTGAATGTTATTGCGTTCTCTTTTCAGAAGTGATACTGACCAATTAAATGTGTGACTGTTTTCTCTTTTAAAAGTGCTAGAATATTTAATTGCCCTTATTATTATTTATATTATTTTATTTATTTACCTTTTATCTCTGAATTTTTTTTAAATGTTTTATTACTGACATGATTCAAAAATGGTGATTCATTCAGGAATGAAACAAGCGACTGTCTATATGAGTGGATCATTGAATAATTAATTGAATCGATTCATTCAAAACAGAGAATCACAGTTCTACTCCGGTGAAGAATTATTTTCTTTCACAGAGCAAGAAAATTCAGTTTAGACAGTTTGCAAGAATGTTCCGTGATATGAAAATGATTGCTGCGAGACGCTGGCGGAGTGAGCGAGGCATGAGAGAGTTGTGAGTGAGGGTGCGGGCCAGATCCATCTATTATAAGCATCTTTGGACTTATCTTTTCCACTTAATTTGACACTTTAGAAAGTTAATAAAGTGGGAAGCTGCAGTTTCGGGTTAGCGATATCTTTATCTTATTATCTCATCTTATCTTATTTACAAAAGATTTTAACTAATTTTTTTTCGTTTTTTATTTGTTTTTGTAACAATATCTGGCAAGACTGCATTGCCGGCACTTAAACTGACAGTAATCAAAAAAGTGAAATTAAATACGCAAACTCTAGCCATGAAGAAGTCTATTTCATTAAGTATAGTAGTTAAATTTTCACAAAGTCAAGCTAAAAACATTGTTATGCATTGTTGAATAATGAATAATAAACTGATAAAATGATCCACCCCTAACCTATATAGTAAAGTATTAACAAATTTTGATACAATAAATATGGTATAATTTAAAAGTGTTCATCCCTCCAAAACAGAAAACATCTTTAACAAACATCTACATGTCTGTCTCTTTTAAAGTGTTAGTGTATATAATGAGCTGTATTTGTAGGGGTTATTATAGCACAATTCTTAACCCCACCCCAGACCTCACTAATTTTCAAACCCTGGTTACGGCCATTCCTATAAGCAATATCATCCTTACAGTCATGTTTTTCCAAAGCACTGCAATTACTTGCGTCACTCGGCGTGCATAAGAATTTATATACACTTGCTTCAAAATTTTCTTTACCTTTTATGATTTTGATGGGTAATAGACAAATTTGTTAACATTTGAGTGTGACACATCTGTGTCAACACAAGTGTGTGACAAAACACGGGGATGCAATTTATCTTTCATAATGCGGATTCAGTCCATACCTTGCCGGACTTCTTTCTTTTCCGTCGGAATCGTAAGAGTTCTTTGTGTTGCCGTGAAACAAAGTTGACTGCAGCATATTCCAATAGGGCAGAAAAAACAAATAACAAGCACACAGCCATCCAGATATCAATAGCCTTCACGTAAGACACCTGCACGGCAGAAAGACATAAACACATTAGTTCTCATATTCCTTAGTTAGCCTTTACCTTTTCATTCCAGCCTACATAACAGCCCAGTCGTTTTTATTATTGTACAGCATAGGGATCTGTCTGAATATTGTCCTTATCGCCACTATGAATCAGAGATAATTCTCTGCCTGGTGAAAAGGCCTATTTTCTGGATGTTTAATTGTGTTACATAACTCAATGTAGCATTTATGAGCATTTTTAATATGCAATACACACTGCATGCCTGCTTTCACACATGGATGCACTTTGCACATTCCACTCTGGGCTGCATTAATAAATAATAACTGAGAATGAATGGCAGAAAAAGAGATGTGAAGTGCTAGTAGAACTTATACCCTAATACTGACCAGTGATGCAGAATCTTTGTAACAAATGTGAATAAGGGACTTGCTTTAACACTGCATGCACTCTGACCTTAGGTAAGGATGTCCTGGATCCAGAGCTCTGAGTTGTCATTGTGAGCACTGTGGTGATTCCCAGGGCGACACGGGCAGGAGCGGCATCCATGTTAATCCAGAAGGAGACCCAGGACAGGATGACGATGAGCAGACTGGGAATGTACATCTGGATCAGGTAGTAGCCCATCTGTCTTTCCAGGTGAAAACGTACCTCAATGCATGTGAACTTGCCTAACAGAAAGAAAAGTGGACAGAGGACATATGCAATTATAGATGAGGATTTAAGATACTAAGACCTGGTAGGTTTGGTTATTTTGTGGTTTTAGTAGGATCACTAATGCATTTTGAAAACCAAAAATGTTTAATTTTAGTTTGTTTGCTTTGGTGAGACCAAAAATGTATAATAATCTAAAACAACTGTTTTCTATTTGAATATATTTTAAAATGTAATTTATTCTTGTGACGACAAATGGCAAAGCTGAATTTTCAGCAGCCAGTGTCACATGATCCTTCAGAAATCATTGTAATGTGCTGCTTAATACATTTGTGAAAACCATCTATTTTATGAATAGAAAGTAAAAAAGAACAGCTTTTAACATAAATGTCTTTACCATCATTTTGATCAGTTTAATGCATCCTTGTTTAAAAAAGTATTAATTTCTTTAAAAAAATCTTAATGACCCCAAACTTTGGAACGGTAGTACATATATGTTAAGTATATATCTCAAATTACAAAATTATAAACATTTTCAAAGAAATTAACACTGTAAAAAGTGGTAACCTGCAACTGTTTCCTTAAAGACATATTTCTACCTGATTTAACCCATAAAAGTTAGTTCCCTTTTGGACGGTCTCTCCCATTGTAACGCTGACACTTTTGGGGAAACTCCTGTTTACTCTGATACTGAAGCCTGATTTGTTCACATTC